TTTTTGCTTGTTCAACAACTGCCGAACGGGCCAGTGTGCACACACGCACACTGCCCGTTTGCAGTGATCAGAAGCCCGCCCCTCATTGTGGTCATCGGAAGCCCACCCCTCAGCGGGGCGGGCTTTTCGATGATCGCAAGTACGATCTGCCTGTCCAAGATGGGCAGATCGTACGAGCTTTTAATAAGCTTACGACCAAGTCTTGCGATGGTCGTAAGGTGTATGGGCACCTTAAAGCTGGCCACAGACCTTACAACCATCGCAAGACTTTTGTCTTGCGATGGTTGTAAGGTAATTAAAAAAACGTACGATCTGCCCATCTTGGACAGGCAGATCGTACTTGCGATAATCGCAAGCCTGTTCCACTGAGGGGCGGGCTTCCGATGACCGCAATGCTGAACGGGCAGTGTGCGCTTGCGCACACCGGCCTGTGCGGCATTTATCTTACGAACATGCCACACACCCGCCGACAATCGGATGATTCTCGGCAGGTTTTCGAACATGTTCCTAAGATAAAAGTCGTGCGACCGTACAGTAGAAACGGTTCCACACACCTTGCGATAATTGTGTGATTGCGGGATTTCCCGCGATTATCGTATGATTATCGCAAGGTGTGTGGGCACCTTTACGCAAATGGTCTGTGGGAGTAAAAAAGCCCCAACATTGATGGTGTCAATGGGAGAAAAATTATGCATCATAGGTGTCAATGGGAGAAATAGTACCCCATTATTAGTGTCAATGAGAGAACAGTGTCCCATTTTTAGGTCAATGGGCAGAAATAGTGCCCCACCATTGATGTCAGTCGGAGGAATAGTCTCCATAATTGGTGTCAGTGGGAGGAATAGTGCCCCATCCTTGGTGTCAGTGGGAGGAATATTCTCCATAATTGGTGTCATTGGAAGAAATAGTGCCCCATCATTGGTGTCAGTGGGAGGAATAGTGCCCCATCCTTGGTGTCAGTGGGAGGAATAGTACCCCGTCATTGGTGTCATTGGAAGAAATAGTGCCCCATCATTGGTGTTAGTGGGAAAATGAATCCCTATTCTTAACATCACTGGGAGGAATGGTGTCTCATGTTTGGCGCAAGTAGGAGGAATAGTGCCCAATCATTGGTGTCAGTGGGAGGAATTGTGCCCAATCATTGATGTCAGGGGGAGGAATAGTGCCCCATCATTGGTGTCAGTGGGAGGAATAGTGCCCCATCACTGGTGTCAGTGGGAGGAATAGTGCCCAATCATTGATGTCAGGGGGAGGAATAGTTCCCAATCATTGGTGTCAGTGGGAGGATTACTGCCCAATTGTTGGTGTCAGTGGAAGGAACAGTGCCCCATCATTGGTGTCAGTGGGAGGATTACTGCCCAATCGTTGGTGTCAGTGGGAAGAATAGTGCCCCATCATTGGTGTCAGTGGGAAGAATAGTATCCATTATTGGTGTCAATGGGAGGAATAGTGCCCCATCATTGGTGTCAGTGGGAGAATGAATCCCTATTCTTAACATCACTGGGAGGAATGGTGTCTCATGTTTGGCGCAAGTAGGAGGAATAGTGTCCCATCATTGGTGTCATTGGAAGAAATAGTGCCCCATCATTAATGTCAATTAGAGAATTAGTCCCCATTGTTAATATCACTGCGAAGAATGTTGTCCCATGATTGGTGTCAGTGGGAGGATTACTGCCCAATCATTGGTGTCAGTGGGAGAAATAGTGCCTCATAATTGGTGTAAGCAGGAGCAAAAGGACCCTATTGGTGTCACCGGGAGGAATAGTGTCCCATTATTGTTGTCAGTGGGAGCAATAGTCCCCATTATTGCAATTTAATTAAAAAAAACACAGTGCTCAAAATAAAAACCCCCTCACTGCAACCTCTTTCAGTGCATACAAAGTGGTAAAACACAACTTAACAACAACAATTGTGACAAATCAACCACTATCACTGGGTCCCATAAGTTATGTGTATGTGTCTTAAAAGTCACTTTCATATTTATTCCTCACTCATAAAAATTGCAACAAGTGTCCTAGTAATATTTTTCCTCTTGATCACATTCCAACCAGTTCTCTGCCATTAAAAATATCTTCCACCATGTTCCCCTATCATAATGAACTCATCGGCAATGGTGCAACTCTGTATGAATTTACACATCAACATACATCTTCTTTTATCTGGTAACCCCATTAGGCGAATGGCAATATTTCTCAGAATATGAATGGCAATGGCAAAATATAAGCAACATCCCTCATCGCTATGCCATGTTTGGCATAGATACATCAATAAGATACGAAGCAGCAAATAAACATTTGATCCTCGGTATATCCCAGGGGAAGTGACATCAGCAGTATCATTGGGAGGATCAGTGCACAATAATTGTTGTTGTTTGTAGGAATAGTTCCTCATTATTAGTGTCAGGGAGCAATAATGCCCCATCATTGGTGTCAATGGGAGAAATATTCCCCATCATTGGTATCACAGGGAGATATAGTGCCCCATATTAATGCCATTTGGAGGGTTAGAAACCCATCATTGGTTTTAATGGGAGGAATAGTGCCCCATCATTGATGTCACTAGGAAAACAGTGCCGCATCATTGATATAATTGGGGAGGACTAGTGCACCATTAATGGTGTTAAATGTGTGTTGAGGTGGCATTCAAAATAAATGACACTGCAACACATCACACTACAACATATGTGTTGCAGCATTAAAATTACCAGAACACACTAATGTGAAGGGGGCCTTAAAGCAGATTCCTTTGATGTTGCATTTTAGGAGGCTAGGAGTCTGGCTGGCATCTGCCCCACTGCCATTTTCACCCTCAGCCATATGCAAGGGTGGGTGCAGGGTAAGGGTGAGGCGCTGATCGGTTGACCCTGCCTGAAAAGCCAATCAGTGCCTTTGCCTTACACTGTAGCTGTGATGGGCAAGGCAGACAATTAGTGTCTCTTTGCCTCACATAGAACCCTGACTGAGAGGCGTAGGGCAGCCAATCAGTGTGTTTACCTCACACAGAACCTACCATTGGCCCTGGCTGAAAGGCAGAATGCAGCCAATCAGTATCTTTGCCTCAAAAAGAACCTACCATTGGCTCTGGCTGAGAGGCAGAAGGCCATCAATCAGTGTGTTTGCCTCACATAGAACTCACCCTGGACCCTGGTTGAACGGCAGAAAGCAGCCAAAGCACTCTCCAGTAAAAGCTCCCTAGTATGGCTGGCATATGCCCCATTGCCAATTCCCATTCCCAGCCATACTCAAGGGTGGGTTCTATGTGAGGGAGAGGCACTAACCGGATGCCCCTGTCTGAGTAGCCAATCAGTGCCTCTGTCCTACACAGAACCCCCTTAGCCGATGCTGAGAGGCAGATAGCAACCGATAAGTGCCTCTGCCTAACATAGACCTACCCGAGCCACTGTTTGAGAGGCAGAGAGCAGCCAATAAGAGTCCCTGCCTCACACAAGACCTACCTTTCAAAAAGTAGTTGTACTGCCTCATAAAAAAGTACTACATTCAAATTACATATTGCATTTTGAAAAAGGAAAAACAAAAATGTATGCATTAGAACCATGGCGGACTAGAATGGTACTCAGACGATATTGGTTACTTAAAATCTCAATATCTGATTTAATCCACAACAGTTAAGGAGAACTATGAGGTGAGTGCTTTTCACTCACCTCATAGTTCTAGCCGACCTGTGACAGTGAGACTGTCACAGGTCGGCTCAGTAGATCGGGAAGTGAGCGAACACATACCGGCGTTCGCTCACCTCTGGATCCTGTCACGGCTCTCTGCCGTGACAGGGGAGGGGCTGGATTCCCCCCTCCGATCCACCATCACTGACTGGCGGAACGGACGGAATAGGGGGCGGGTACAGCTGGCTCTGCCTCTAGATAGGCAGAGCCAGCTGTCAGTCACGCAGCTGGGCGGATCCAGATTTAATTGTCGGGATCCGCTTCAGCTACGGCGTCTCAGTATACCGGGAGCTACAGCTCGTGGTATACTGAGCCTAGGGTGACGGGAGGACGCTAGTTTGTGTCCTCCCGTTACCCTAAGGAGAACTATGGGGAAAAGCCCTAACCCCATAGTTCTCCTTTAAGTTAAACATCAAAACTTTCTATTCAAATCAATATCATAAGAATTAATCTGAGAAATGCCTTGACGAATCTGTTATACATCAATAGTTTACATACATACAGTTTGTACAATCGGAAAGCACAAAAAGGCCAAGGCCTAATGGTGAGAGCAGCAGCAGTTGAATTTCAAGGTAAAAAAAACCAAAACAAAATAAAAAATAAACACATTCAAATAACAGCTATTGCAGAAAGTTCACGAAACGCAGTGATTTTTTTATTCCCTCCTCCGTGCCGTGCTCCTCGCCATGGACCTGCTGGGTTGCCTGGAAGCTGCACGCTGCCGCTGACAGACCCATGATAGGGTTAACGCTATTCTCTGCTCCTGCTCAGAGGGAGAGGAGGTTAGGAGAGGGAGCAATCTGATTAAAGCCGAGGAAGAGGAAACATGCACTTGACTGTCTGCTTGTTCCCTGGATCTGGTGGTTGAAGGTTATGTGCGCGGAGCTTTTTTTCTTTTTTTTTCTTTTTTTTTGTGGATTGGGAATTTTGGAGGAAAAGGAAGCGGGGATGGTTGCCTCTTTGCATTTAAGGATTTTTCACCTGTGGACTTGACTCTGCCAAGAGAAACAAAAACCAAATAAAAAGAAAATAAATTTTATAACAATAAAAGCTCTTGCTGTTTTTGTTGCCTGCATCTGAACACACCTGGGCTTGCAGCACCCGCCTCCCTCTCTGTGCAGCCTTGCTCTACACTGTGGAAGGCAGCAAGAGAGAGAGAGAGTGACAAGGAACCGTAGACTGATTGCTGGAGGCTTAAGGACAATCATCCACCTTCTGCAGAGCAGAGACAGCTGGAGACAAGGGAGCTGGGGCGCTTCCTTTCTTTTTCTTCCCTTTTTTTTTTTTTTTTAATTAACCTTTTTTTTTTTTTAGGAGGAGAGTGGAGGACAGAACCTGACGCTGGGAGGAGAGACAGGAGCATGTGGATACTGCTTGTCTTCTGGTTCCAAAGCATCATAAATGGTAAGCATCCTTGCTCTGCATCCCTTATTCATTCCAGCTGATTGGTACAGGATGCTGCTGGAGACAGAGTAGCTAATTATCTCTCCGGTGATGTGCACGGTACAAAATAAAAAATCCCCCCCTCCCTCTCTCTTCTATTTTTTTCCCCCCACCCGTACCGCGTTGCCTTGCTAAGAAACTGCTCTGTAATCATTGATACAGGCACGGCGATGCACCGTAATCAGGGTACGCAGCTAACTTGCACTGATTAGACGTTGCCATCGAGGTGATTGTGCCACTGATATATTGGTGCGTGCGACTGCAGCGCCTGTCATTGGCTGCATGGAGCCCTGTGCGCGGCGGTGACAGGGTGGCAGCCAAAGCCACAGCGTGGAGACTGCCTGGTTACATGTGACCAGTACATACCTGCATACGCATAGATGTGTATGTGTAGGGTCTCTGTGTGTGTGCGGGGTCTGTTGGATGCTGAAGTGCAGACATTAACCGAGTAATTAAGTTTATTATGGGTAGGAGGGCAGAGATGTTAATTTTGGGCTTGGGTGTAGATGGGGTATATCAAACATTCTGGTTCCCAATCCCAATACAGTTTAAATGTATGTGTGTGTGTATGTATGTATGT